CCACCAGACTTTGTATTATTATTATTATTATTATTATTATCATTATTATTATTATTATTAAGACAAATATATAATTTAGGGGTCATACAAAAAGCAATGTGTTGGGTGTTCAATTTCAAATGTGTCCGTTAATACAAATATTTGAAGATGCTTTCGAATTTACAGAAAAATATTCTTCGAAAGATAAAGAACAAAGATTGGCGACTGAAAACGTGTACCTAAATTTGAAAAGAGTTCCATTATTGCAATTTCTTTAATGATTTCACTTCAAAGCTGGAAGGACACACAATTAAACAGCCAAATACGCAAGTAATTTAAGATTCTTTTCTAAAATAGCATCTGAGGCAGCCTTATTATTTGTTACACAAAAGGACACAGCTGTAATAGTATAATTTGGTACAGACATTTTAGTCCATTCTGTAAACATTGCACGGAGAAAATAGCATCCTAATTGATTGTTATTGACATTAGCTGTAAATTCCGCGTCCTCTTAAAGATTTTTTAAAGACGTTTTAATTGGCAAGTAACTTGTTGTTTTGTAGATTTGGAAAATATACTGAAATATTCTTTCATTTGTAAATTTTATAACTAGAGTGTTGAAGCAGATCGATCGATATTTATATATAAATGTGATTTAAATAATGCAAGACTGGTTTAATAACGTCTCACTCTATCGTGTACAAAAAAATTTCGTAAGTTGTTTTTATTTTATTTCAAATACAAATAGAGTGTTCCACTTTGATCCATTCTTTGTGGCAGGATAATTAAGAGTGAAAATAATTAAGGATTTAATAAGAAATAAGAATTGTGCCTTTTAATTTGCTAATCAGTCGATAAAGGGACTCCACTGAGGTTTAAAAGCCTAAAACATAACATTTGAATTTTTTTACATAAATGAGCTGGGGCACTGTAACCATATGCAAAGATAGTTAAGAAATATACTTTGAAATAAATTGAAAATCGTATTTTTATGTTTTTCTCAGCCAGATTTGAGAGAAAAGCGTTGTAACGCTTTTCATTTTGGGTCATTTTTTTACAATTTCCGTAAACATTGAACACTTGCAGATAACCTATACGCGTCATCGAGGCATCTTTTGACGTAAATTGTTGCTCTTATGACTATAAAGTGTGCTTGATTTTACAGTTGCCATTAAAGTTTTATATATTTGTTTTAGTATCAGTACGTATATGATACTAATATAAGATAAGCTTGACTTACTTTCTTTCAGTACTAGGCTTATTTAATATGATACAAAAGCAACGCGTGAATACTGTTCTTATATTGATAAGGAAAACCAACAGAGATAACATTCCTTATTTTCCACCATAATGCACACTGATAAGAAATTATTATAACTTGTAATAACAATTTGCGGAATGATAATTGAATGTGAATACTTGGGGAAATATCAAATTTGTATAATATAATAGGACGTATGCGAGAGTCATACAAATTGTTTACATAGATAAAATGTACACAGATCGTATATTTTACGTGTATAAAGCTATATATCTGCTGCTAAAATAATTGTTTGAATTTGAAAAGGAATACACCATTGCTAAACGGATAAAACCCTACTAAAAAGAGCAAAAATAATATTTTGTACCGGAACATTTTGTTTACGTACATTATCCATGTGTATTAAATAACAATGACATTCAATGTTACAACTTTTTCGGGAATCAACCATATAATAATATACTTTTACTGTTGATAAATTTTATAAAAAATATTTCATTAGATATAGATCTATATCTTTTAAAGCATTTACTTGGCTATAAAACCTTCATGTTTCGCTGTACAAAAATAGAAATGTGATTTTCACTTGGCCTGTAAATAGCTTTTTTAATAGTAAATGTTTGTAATTTATAACAACTGACTTGGAATAAAGAGTATCGCATATTGTAGTATGTGTGGTTAGCTAGCAACAGCCTAATGCATGGAGGGCCCTCTGAGGTCTACCTCCACCAGGAAAGCTGGAAAATCACCATGGCTTCTAATGTGTTGGTGCGACGTAAACCATCTACATGTCATTCTAATCACGGACTTTAAAGTTTAATGCATACTCAAACTAGATTATTCCGGACAAACACATTTGTTACACATTCTTCCTCGTATGAATGCGATCCAATTTTGCACAAAAAAAAATATGTTTCAATGCGTTTTGTTACGAATATGTGATTTTCATAACAATGAGACTGTCAAATTCTGATAGGATTATCAGTATATTGTTACACATGGAATATTTAAAAGAATAATTTCTTTCATCATCGGAACATGCAGGATTCCATCACAAACTGTTTAAAGTAAATTACAAATCTGTCAACGGCACAGTAATAGCAAGTTTTCTCATTTCCTTATTTCGTAGTTCATTGACTCTATCACAACCACCATATCGAGTTATTGGTGGAATAATCATTTGACGGCAATGTCTTCAACAACTGTTGCTACAGAAAAAAATAGTTTAATATACCTTGTGACAGTTTTTCATATAACTGGAAAAATGCCCAGAATAATGAAGAAAAACAACAGATATTACGATGAAAAGGAATTTTCCCAAAATTACCAACTCATTTTGAAACTTAGTATCAAAATATAGCACTGTTTCTTTATTTTGTTTTTTGTTATGTTGTTTTTTTTGTTGTTTTTGTTGTTTTTTTTGGGGGGGGGGGGGGGGGGTTCCTAATGACGACTATCCAACTTTACTGGTGAAGGAAGATCTCAAGTGCCCTTCCGTGTATTATTTAAGGCACGAGCGTGCATCCGAGTAGAACCACCGACGGTCCGTAAGCTTGCTGGATGGCTTCCTCGCATAAAAAAAAATCAAAGTCCATGGCAGGATTCGAACCCACAGAGGTAAGTGGCAAATGGTTTGAAACCCACTCGGCAACGAACACCCTAATAGTAATATTTGACCGCCTTGATTTCAATCTTTGTGGTAAAACACAATAATTATGAATTATTCATTTAAAACATAAGAAACATTTCTGTGAAAATCTACTTTCTCACACAGGCCATAGCTTTGGTAGTGAAACAGTCGTCGCAGAAACGGCATATGACTTCAATTTCATATTTTGCTATCATGTTTAATACCGAGTTTTACTTGAATATTAAACGTTTTACTGGACTGAATCCCACATATTTACTCTGCCGAGTTTTACTTGAATATTAAACGTTTTACTGGACTGAACTCTGCCGAGTTTTATACTTGAATATTAAACGTTTTACTTGACTGAATCCCACATATTTACTCTGCCGAGTTTTACTTGAATATTAAACGTTTTTTTACTGGACTGAACTCTGCCAAGTTTTACTTGAATATTAAACGTTTTACTGGACTGAACTCTGCCAAGTTTTACTTGAATATTAAACGTTTTACTGGACTGAATCCCACATATTTACTATTGTTTCTGGTAAACAAGAGAAAATGATGTTTAAAGAAATTGTGAATAACGACGCATGAAGTACATAATGCCATTATATTACCTCATCTCTAGGCAGGTCAAGTGCGTTTAAAACGTAGCAGGTATTGTATAGGAATGGATAAACATATAGTAACGGCAGAACATAAAAGCTAGCATGAGCTTATCTTATAAAGCAATAAAGCTTAATTAGAGCAGTTTTGGAAAAAAATTACAGACGTTGAAAGGCGTTTTCAGCTTCACATCTTAAGTGGCTGTGGCTTTTGACAGTAAAGTGTCTTTATTCAAACAACTTGTTTATTCGCACTATTTTGCTCAGTTAAGTGCAATTCAGACTGTTATACTCCTTTTAATGTAGAGACCTTATGTTCACATAGGAAACAACAATTGCCAGTGGAAACAGCATGCTTGTCTAATTCAATACAAGAGCTGTCAGTAGGAAAAACCCAAGAATATTGTCATAGCTTTAAAGTAAAACAATAGCCTGGATAATGGAAGATTTACAAGAGAGCCATAATGGCCCTGAATCACTCACCTGAGATACATAACTAGAAAAAGGTCACAATTCTTCAAAGCATGAGTCAATAATAAGATTACATTAATTTAGGTTGCCATTTTTTACCAAAGTTGCATGATCTTTAAAACAATTAACAGTGATTTGTAGATGTCTGCAGGGAATACCACATGGCAAATATCAAAGATCTGAGCTGTATCATTAGACATAGGTAGTCAATATAAATCTATTCAACCTATGTGACTAAAAGACTGGCCCTATTTAAATCTTAGGGGCATGATTAATATTACTTAAAAGCAAATCATCCCTCAGAAACATATAAATCTTTACTTCTTTAGAAAGGACAAATATGATTTTTTTTTAAATTTAAGTTATGGTTTTAGAGCTAACTTGCTTGTAACCTTAAGACAAATGTGAAATCATTTGCCATAAAAGTAGCAAAAAATAAACAAAGTATTATTTTGACTTCCATACAAAATAATCAATCACTAAAACTGTACTAATTGCCAAAAAGCAACTTGAAAAAGATGGTTTCGGTAATGGCTGATATGTAACATTATTGAAACTATTGAAGTACACCAAAAATAAAAAAAATAAATTATGAAACAAAAATAATAAAAGCATTTCTGAGTGAGGCATAATAGGCCATTAAGTAAAGGAACACTGGTTATGAGAATTTGGATAGAAGTCAAAGAATATTTTAATTTCATCCACAAAAATTCACAAAACACTTTATTCCATTCAAAATCTTTGCCAGAGTGAGAGTTATGGATCTTTGAAAGTGACCTTTCATTATACATGTAATTCTAATACAATGTCAAGAAAGGAAGCTACTGCATGTTGTTCATGTATGTTTACATAACATTTTGGATGACAAAGTCAGGATTTGAACTATGTCAACACTACGGTTAAACGTCCATTATTAAGTATATACATTTTATATAAACTTATGAGAACTAAATATAGAGGAAAATTTATGATATACATAATTGAATTTTTTCTGGTCTTGATTTCTTAACATTTGTGAAACCAGGCCATGAATTAATAATTATAAAAACAAAGGTTCAATATAAATACTGTATCACTTTATCAACTACCTTCCAAGAAACAAATCAAAGATTAATGATATTAATCACTTAAAACAATCCATATAAACTGTATCTTGTCACAGTGATAATGATATTTGTCCTGTGACCAACAATTTTACCAATATAATTTACCGCATTTTATTGGATTGTTTTTGTTTGTCTGTATGTTGCACCACATCATCATCATCGTCTAACATCAACTGTTTAGACATAAATTCGCGCCTAGGTTCCTTATCCACTACCTGTTTTGACTTCTCATCTTCTTCATTAAACAGTCCAAACTTTTTATTCTTCTTCCTCACAGGTGTAGTTTGTTTATTTTGATCGTCCATTCCATAATCCATTGGTTTATCGTAACCCACCATGTGTTTGTATATTTCTTTATCCCGGAATTCCTCCATAACTATAAAGAAAGATTTGCCTTTGATGATATGGGTAACAAACATGCGTGGAGTGAAAGGAACGACCACATCTTCAGCATTAAACTGCATTTCCTTTCTACGTAAGAAGAAGCTTTTATAGGCCACTGTGAACATTTTGTTTTCTTCATTAAAGTAGATATCAGTCACATATTTTTTGGTAACAAAGTGTAAAAGGACTGGTGTACTGAATAAAGCTGCACTTATACTTCCCATTAAACCAGCTTTAAAGAGGAGATCATCTTTAGCGGCAGATAAAACCATCGGCTGTGCCAGAAGAGCTAGGAAACTTGTACTTAGAGAAAACATTTTCAACCCTTTCACGTATGTTGTCAATTTACCGGTGTAAACCAACACCCCTCGTGTTGGATGCATCAATGGCATTCCACTTTCTTCATCTTTGTTATTAGATCCCTCTGTCTGTAAAGCTCTTGAGTCAACATTCTTAGTCTGTTGAGACTTTGAGAAACTGTCATGTGACTGGAGGTGATGGTAGTTTGATGTTGGTGAGAAATGCAAGCTAGCACAGCTGTTTATTCTTATTCTTGTATTTATTAAGCCTCCCCTGACAACTTGAACTGGAAGTCTCGACTTCACATGGTGACCCAGTCTTGCTAATGCTGCCATTGTTCAACAATCAACGGTCACAGCGTCATCACTGAAAAATATAAGAGTAAATAATAACAGTATTTGCATCACAAATTTACATATTTACTAAATATGAAATTTTGTGATGCAAATACTGTTATTATCTGTAGAACATATAGTTGTGCAATCAATGTCTAGAACTGTTCAAATTAAGTTAAAGAATGTGTAAGCAGCCAGATAATTTGAGGGTTTGAGTCTCAGTCAAACTGCTCCTTTTTATGTTTTTCTCAATTCTGTGGCAGGGGGGTAAAGTGTCTTGTTCCCATTTTTATCACCCTGTGACAAAATCATTGCAATCTGATCTACTTATTTGTTACATTTAGAGTGGGGCTTACTAAGAGCTGGTTTTAATTCGATTGACCACATGACACCCTGTCACTGCTACAGTATCTACACTTAAAATAACATACACTTACAGTGAAGTGTTTTTCATCAGCTTGTTATAAGATAAGACTCGTCACTGAATTCATTGATGATTGAGGATTTTGGTGCTCAAGTTAGTTTTAGTGCCAAGACAACTACACACATTATGAACTTTTAAAACCTTATTCATTAATAATATAAATTGTGGCATAAACTTTAATAATAAAATTCAGTATATCTAATAAGAATCAATCTAGTCTTTACAGTTAGATACAAAAATTATTCACAGACACTTGGGGTTTGGAGCTCAAAACGCCTTTAAAATCCAAATAAAATGCATATTTGTCAATCCCAGGACATGTACTGATCATATATATCAAAAAATCTTAATATATGCCGTTTTGAAAAAAAATCATATTTCAACAACTATAATAATACACAAGATAAAAATGTTCGCCGGAAAAAATCCACACCCCTACCGTCATAATCACCATGTATTTTATTCCATTTCCAATATTTTCACATAATCCTTTGGTCCATCGACACAGAAGATATAATTCTTCACGATGATGGTCAATTTTAAACTTCAACGGTAATATAAACAACGCAACAGCCGAAATAAACATCAATATTATCGCCGTTTTTTTCCAACTACAAAATCTTTCGATAAATTCAATGGACCAGACGGCTATGAACGAAGCTATCCGATTATGTGGTTCCCAAACTTAAAAGCGCTGCGCATTTTGCACACGGCAAAGCTGGGGCCACATAATCAGATAGCTTCGTTCATAGCCGTCTGGTCCATTGAATTTATCGAAAGATTTTGTAGTTGAAAAAAAACGGCGATAATATTGATGTTTATTTCGGCTGGTGCGTTGTTTATATTGGTAGCAAGACACTTCACCCCCCAGACACTTCACCCCTCAAATTTTGAAGACACTTCACCCCTTAAGACACTTCACCCCCCAAAATCAGTAAGACACTTCACCCCTCATCCAATTTTTTTCTATAAAGTATATAAAACAAATTAGTCAACAACAAAATGCTGATATATGTTTATATTAATTACTTTTAGTATTATTTGATTAAAAATTTTGCTTAATACCTTTATTTTTACTAAGTTTAAAGCTGATTTTGGTTAAATGGTTGTATTGCTAAATGAAATACATGTACAAAGCACTTTCATCCATTAAGTGTTTATTGCATGTCACCTTGTTTATTCAACATGTTGATTGGTTGTTTATTCAACAGTCATCTCATAACTGATTAGATAATTGAATTAAAATGGTATAATTGTATGAAAATTAAATTTATTTATAATATTGAATAAATAAATAGATAAATAAATAAATTAATAAAATGAATATAAATGAATCGGTTGCTTTATAAAATATAGTAAACATAAATTATTTGTCATCATTATCAGACACAATTATCCTGTATTTAATTCAAAATAATTCATAATAGCATTTATTAAACAAATAAATAGCACCAGTTATGTAAATTAAGCACAAGGTTAAAGCAGAATTCGTCACCAAATGAACGTAACTTAATTATTATATGGTATTTAGGATCAAACTGAAAACAAACTTAAGTACCAAAACTTCAAGAATTAAATCAACTCAAAATTAAATACTAGACATTGATTTATACTTAAAATTACTTGAAAGTCTTTGTATGAGTTTGTATTGTTATTACTATTTTGTATAGGAAACTTCCCACAAAGGTTCACACACTTCACTAGAAAGATTATTCAATTAGTTATATCACTTTTACTTTAATTGAAAATAGTATAAAATATATAAAAATTAAAAAAAAAATTACATTATACTATTAACTTTGTAATATGAGCCTTTTTTGTATGGCAAAAACAACTATATCTATTGTCTTTTATCAGTTACATGATAAAATAATAATAAAATATGTTAAAACAATAAACATACTCAATCACTATTGAATGTTTTTAACATTTACTACATGAATAATTGTTAAACATAAAATAAAAAAATGAGGGGTGAAGTGTCTCAATCAAATTTCTTAAAATGAGGGGTGAACTGTCTGAGGGGTGAAGTGTCTGCAAAAAAAGGCCTAGGGTGAAGTGTCTGGGGGGTGAAGTGTCTGTAAACCTTTATATTACCGTTGAAGTTTAAAATTGACCATCATCGTGAAGAATTATATCTTCTGTGGCGATGGACCAAAGGATTATGTGAAAATATTGGAAATGGAATAAAATACATGGTGATTATGACGGTAGGGGTGCGGATTTTTTCCGGGACACATTTTTATCTTGTGTATTATTATAGATGTTGAAATATGATTTTTTTTCAAAACGGCTTATATTAAGTTTTTTTGATATATATGATCAGTACATGTGCTGGGATTGACAAATATGCATTTTATTTGGATTTTAAAGGCGTTTTGAGCTCCAAACCCCAAGTGTCTGTGAAATTATTGTGACCTTCTTGACTTAAAAAAATAACTTTTCTTTATCCTACGATTTTTCTATGAAATAAATTTACATGAACATTGAAGCAGTTCAGTTCAAACTCTTATATCAATTAATAACAACTCCACAAGGAATCATACTTCTGACAGTGAGACTAATTGTCTTTTGATGATCTTTGATGATCTACTGTCTAAACTTGTTGTTGTTGTTGTCGCTGCCAGATAAGGACTGAGATGTTCCGAATGTGTCGCTGTGGTATTATGCCACTAAATATCGACAATAGAAATGCCGGACTCCGGGACTTTGTACGACACGAATTGGATATTGAATTAATTTGAATTAATTTCAGTATTGAAATTTGTAGCAGTAAAGAGTTATAGATAATTGATCGTAACATGAATACAGATAAACAATTATGTTGAGTTGATATTACAAATTGATCGTAACATGAATACAGATAGAGATTGTTGACATCGTTGCAGTTCTTTTCCAAAAATCCCTGATCACCGGTAATATTCCCAATGACTGGACCCGTGCAAACGTATGCCCTGTCTACAAAAAAGGTGATACAAGTGATCCAGCAAACTATTGCCCAATTTCCCTTACATGCATCCTCTGTAAAACACTTGAACACATAAAACACTTGAACACATAGTTGCCTCTCAACTATCGTCTCACTTTACCACCCACAATATACTCTTTGATCTTCAGCATGGATCAGAGAAAGACGATCATGTGTGACACAACTCAATGAACTTACTGATTACCTTGTGAACAATCTTTCAAATGGCAAACAAACAGATCTCATAATTCTTGACTTCTCCAAAGCTTTCGGTAAAGTAAACCATCTTAAACTCTTAGATACCCTTCAAGAACATGGTGTTTGTCCTCAAATTCTAAACTGGATACAGTCCTTCCTTATTGGCCGTAGACAGACAGTAGTTGTGGATAGTGACTGCTCATCTGAAGTTCCAGTTACCTCTGGAGTGCCCCAAGGCTCTGTCCTAGGGCCCCTTTGTTTCCTTCTATATATCAACAAGCTACCATCTTCTGACCTTAAATCCCAAGTCAGATTATTTGCAGACGACACTGCTGTATACATAACCATCGATTCCTCCTCAGACCCCCCAAATCTCCAACATGATCTTGACAATATGGTTCTGTGGGAGAAGCAGTGGGACATGGAGTTTAACCCTTCAAAATGCCAAGTCATCCATAACACCAAAAATACAATCATAATTAAACACAAGTATATGCTCCATGGCCAAGTCCTATATAGAGTATGTTACAAATACTAAATATCTCGGACTAGATCTATCTGCTGACACATATAACTCGAATAACTTCCAATACAAACAGATCCCTTGGCTTTATTAAAAGAAATGTTGTTACTAAAAATGAGAAAGTGAAAGAACTAGCATACAAGTCCCTGAGCCGGCCACAGGTTGAATATGCCTCAACTATTTGGTCTCCTTACAATAAAACCAATATTGACAAAGTTGAGATGATCCAGAGACGTGCAATAAGATGGGTTAAAAGGGATTAATCCCCTCACTCTAGTGTCACAGCCATGCAGGAAGAACTGGGCTGGCGATCCCTTGAACATCGCAGATTGGACTGTAGACTGATAATGTTTTATAAGATATAATATAACCTAGTTGCAATTAATCTCCCAACATATGTTCAAACCCCACATAGATTAACCAGACATATGTACCCCTTATCCCTACGCAAATTACAGGTATCCTCCGACTACCATAAGTACTTTTTCTTCCCTCATAGCATTATACTATGGAATAAACTTCCTAGTAACATTGCCACCCTGCCCAACTTGAGTCAGTTCAAACAGGCAGTGGTGGGTTTGCAGTACTAGTCTTACTCCCAGTGTTTTTAAACTATTTTATCTCTTATCATCTTGTTTCACTATTAACATTTTAACAATGCCTAGAATACATTTTTTGTCTCACCTTTCAATCATGTCAATCTTTGGAGTTTTCTTTTTTAGCTTTTCTTTTCACCTTTTACTAACAATCCGACGTGCACTAAATTCCTGCCTTTAACACTCGTAAGAGGAATTGGCAGTATCCAGAGATAGATAGATAAATAAATTTAATAGAAAGATGCAATTAGAAAGTCTGCATGTTAACTACTTTTGTGTCAATCACTTTGAGTCCATGTGTCATGTTAGGGTATTAATTCATAATTGTGAAATTAACAATGCTATAAACATTCATAACTCGATGAAAACAATTTGTTAATCTTTAATACATAAAAACCGTATCAATATACGATTTTGTCAAGGATCTCTGCTTAAGGTAGGTGCCATGTAAATATTTATCATATTTGCAGGTGTTTCATTATTGATATTTTATTTTTTAATGAGAGAAAAAAATATTAATTAGGAAGAAGAATGATAGAACCTATTTTTCTCAATTCTGTACCAGTATTTGTATATATGTTCTTTTAAAGTTCATTGAGTAAAACATATTCTCTGAAAATAACTGCCAATTTTTCCACATAAATCAGAAGTGGACTTCGAATAATTTCAACAGCAATTTTTATTGGCATAAATGTTATAACATTAGCTGTAAACATGAAATTCTTTAAACAGTGGTACAAATTTTTAATACAAATAAAAAAAATTTGCACAGGAAACATAAGGATGAACTTAAGTTTTGTTATTATTGCAAAATGCAAAATAAACAAAATTTTAATGAAGGCCATCTACAGGAGTAATTGATGTTTTAGATGTCTTATTTGTTTTATAATGTAATTAATTAATTTGAAGCATTTTGTTTACAATAAAATCTTTTAATTATGGATGGAACACGTTTCTCGTTGTTTTTTTTCCACTTAGGTCAGATGTCACTTTGTATTACTACTCCATTCCATTCTTTGTATTTCGGATAAACAACCTTTTTGATTGGTTGTTTCATCAGTTAGGTTAAAGATCACTTTTGTATTACTACGCCAAACTGTATTTAGGTTCGGTTTTGGCGCCTTTTGATTACAGTTTTTGTCAAGACACGTACACAGACGGTTGTTTTATCAAATGCCACTCCCTCCCACCTTTGTTTTTGTGTGCTTTTTCTTGTTTAGCTTGTTAAGTACTGTATTGCATGCTTTTATGTGTATTTGTTTCATTTTATAGTTATTTCCGCTTACATATATTCCAAAACATTTGTTTAAAGCGGTTTTGTTCCTATTCATTCTGTTTTATTCATAATAGTGGGGCGGGAAATTGAGAAAATAGTGCAAATTGTGATACAAGCATGAAACTTTCAGGAAATCATCTTTAGACCATGTAGATTTCAAAAGTGAAGTGGGCCCAAAAATATCTCTGCTCATTCAAGATGGCCGCCATTTTCAAAATGGCCGCCATATAAATTTGACATACATTCTAGCTCATTCATTCCAATTTTTTGTACAGACCTTTAACTAACACCAAAATCATGCATATAGTTTCTCCTTTTCAAAAATTTAAATCTCACAAAATTTCTCTTTCATACTTCTTCCAAATCCAAGATGGCGTCCAATATGGCCGTCGATTTTGTGAAAAACTGTTATACCATTTTTATAGTATAATTTTGGTGCACAAATTATGTTTATTATGATAAAAAAGGTGTTTAAACATATCAGAGATAATCAAATTATATGTTAATCTCAATAAAAGTAAACATTTTAAGTTTTGTCTAAAAATATCTTTAAAAAAGATCAAGAAAAAATTCCAATTTTTTCATATTTTTCAAATTTGAATTTCTAAAGTAATTTACAAAGTTAAAAAAGTTACTTTATGTCTTAAACTGTATTTGACATTCTATTAATATCATGTGTTTATTGTAAAAAATGTAAGAAAAGCATTAAATCTGTAGGTTTTATATTTTGTGAAAGTGGGTGGGGTAATTTTATATGATAATTTGTAAAAGAAAAAACAACAGAAAATCTACATAGCTGAGTTCATTCTATTTCTTTGTCTTTTTTACTTTTCTATAAATTCTTATGCAAATGTTCCAACTTAAAAAAGTACTTTTTATTGGATGAAAGTATTTTGTTTTCCTTCGGGCCATTTGGTGGGTGAGCAAGAAATGCACATTCAAACATGTGTATACCTTCAGTTATTAAATTTGGTTGCATGATAATTCTTGTTTCAATATATTTGATATCATATTATACACATTGCAAAACCATTTTAGACTGCAGTAGCATCATACAAATTTATGCATGTTATATCAGTCTACATCCCAAATATCTTATTTCAAGTCAATTTAGTTTAACACTAGATGTTTTTAATGTGTTTTCCTATACAAGTGAACCCAGGTGGCTCTATGAGCTTTATTCATTAAATGTGTTAATAAAGACCCAAGGTGGTGTTACATACCAGCTTAGTACCTGTGCTCTATGCATTTTGATTTTTGAGAAGATTTTTTCTATTGCATGTACACTTTATGATCCAAAATTGTTTTATGTAACTTTTAAAGAGGTGTTCTTTACTTGGCAAGGTAATATTTTGACTATCTAAGCTCTAGGCATTACAGTTTGTTTGTTTGTTGATTTTTTTTAACAACAACAAAACAACTTCAATGCGATTCCCTTCACAAGTCTTTAAAAACTGTGTTCCTCGTGCGGGCCTTTAAATCATGTTCCTGTAGTCCAAAATGGCTTTCTCTGTCACTTAGTTTACATTGACTCATATATTAAAATTCTTTTCCGAAACTATGTGCACAGAGAAGAGAAAATATATCATAACATTGTGATGCTATATAAAGATTATAAACTATTGGCATAGGGTCAAAATCACTTAGTTTACATGGACTTTTATTGGAATATAGTTATATGAGTCTTTTTGTAGTTCTGAGAGCCTAGTTATTGGACATGATTCTTTTCAAATAGTTTATAAATCATGACTGGTGAAAAAAGATACTCCTTATATGATTTTAGCATTCTTTAGTATAAAAGAATTATATACCTTTTCCAGCAGTGGGTCTTAGGCGCGTGATCTAGGGTCAACAATGCTCTTGTTTAATGGGAAAAATAAAGTAGGAATACATTTAGTTTATATTCCAAAGTATAAGCTATGTTTGTTATGTGGGTCAAGCGGTTTTATTGATACCTATTTTAGCACACCTAGTCATTAGATAGTATGATGTATCAGTCGTATTTGTTTCTTTTGAAAATATCATGTCTACATAAGTTATTAGAAATGGACGGTACTAATTCAATTATACTTGGTTACAATGATGTGCAAGTAAATATGACTTTGAATCATTCTGTTACAAGCTTTTAGCAAGACTAAAT